TTTTTTAAAAGGTTACACTAGTACATAATTATTAATATTGTTAAACACACTAGCAATGACTTCCAAAAACTGTCTTATTTGTTTTGGGCTTTGTTTCAAGGTTGTTATGTTTAGTTCATAAAATAAAAATACGTAAGCTAGCTTCTGCTTTTTTTTGTCTTGGGTTTGGAGTCATGTTAACACCTTGTTGAGCCTTCAGCAGGTCTTTGTTCTGAGTCAGTTGATTGTTTTGATAATATCAAAAGATGCATGTGTCCTCTTTGCTTCTTTTCAGCATGGTAAAAAATTGTAATAATGTTACACTCTTCAAAACAAAGAAGTGTTGGTATCTGTACTACGTCTTTTGAAATGCCTGTCACCACATTATAGAAACATGATATATTGTTGGTTAAGATTTTCCAAAACTGATAAAACATTGACTATTATATCTTTACATTCTGTAAAAAAAAAAACAATATATTTTCAGCTTGCTTTGTTCCAGGAGGGATTTTAAGGGATGTTAAAAACGAACATGGAAAAAAATCTTGAACATTGCAAGTCCTAGCTCTTCTAGAAGTACCATGAAAAAAATTTACATGTATGACTCAGTTTGGAAGATATAATTCATACTTCCATATTTCTATGCTTTCATGTATTTTAAAGAATTTTAAAAGGTTATACATATTTGAAAATCCCTGGGGAGCCCCAAATACAAAACCTGTTTTTCCCCAGTATCAATGCTACAGAAATGCTACACTGTCTGCCGCAAGTTTGATAATACTACTATATGAAGTGGACAGAGCAGAACTGTTACAGGTCAAAAACTACGAAAAAACCCCTGGAGGACAAAATGGGGGATGGGTCAAATCGTCATCAGATAGCTGGGCTTTTGTTCTAGTTTATCTAAGGATGGCATAGAAAAGTGTTAACTGATTATGGGTAGGATAACATCAGTGGGCATCCTAGCACAAAAGTCATTCTTAGCAAACGAGACAACTTAAGTGGTCCAAGATTCTCCAGGTTCTAAACTTGACTAAGAGGTAGGATTATCTTATAATTCAGGGAGATAGAAAAATTATTCAATTTTTTGACATGAAAAAAATTTTTTTTTTTTAATTTATCTTTAAAAAAAAACATTTTAATTATATCCTTTTACACCTGCTTATGATATAAATTTATTTTTTTAAATTTTTTTTTATATTGGAGAATTACCATCATGTAGCATTTCATATGAGATCAGTTTTTCATAATTGTTCAACAGTACGAAATATAACGAACTTTCTAAGTGCTTGTGTATATAATTTTTTTTTATTAATAATCTCTAGAAAGAAGAGAGAACAAGAAAAAAAAACAAATATACAAAAAAAAATTTAACCTAAATGTTTTGTTAGTATAAACAGTCATTAGATAATATTTCAAGAAAGTTTTGATAGCATGAGTTTTGATTTTGTAGGAACTTCTTCACATAGTGTACATAAAGCTAGAAGTTGTCACAAATGACAGATTTAGTATACAGTCTTGACAAATATTGATTTTGATTTCAAAACAGGGAGGTCTGAGAATTTCAAGTACCCTTTATAAGTTTGGTGATTTCTGAATTAATATATGTATGTCTCCGGTTTCAAAATAGTTCTTGCCCTGGATTCAGTAGAGTGCAGCAATTATGATCTGTCAGGGAAAGTTGTCCTGCGTCGTTTTTGTCTTTTTACGCTACATTATTTTTACTTCTAATTAAATACAGCTTTAACTTCATAAAGCTATACAAAAATTCTTTGTTGAAAATTTTGTACAGATTCAAGAGCATTTGACCAATGTTATTTTTTATTTTTAAGAAATTTTGTTTTAAAAATGGATTGAATTTTATTCTCTATGTTTTAAAAAAATGCATTATACAGAATTAAAAGGACAATTTCAACCAGGCAAAAGGTGGAAAACAAAATTCATTAGCATGAAGAAGACTTCAATTCCTTGATGACACAGAATCGCACAGATATCTATTGATTCTTTGTTTTGTTTTCACATTAATTTCTTATCATTTCGTTTCCAATGAAGCATTGAAATACAGGGAAATAGTGGTGGCTCAATATACCTGTTTGTCAGATGGCTTTTCAAGTGGCAGTTCGTGTTCCTATCCCAGCACAAAATTTACACAATTCAAGTATCAACAGACAAGTTTGTTTAACTTCAAGCTGTCAAGAGGAAGTTTTATTATAATTTATTCAATAAAAATAAATTTTTAGAGAAAATGAAAATGGGAGTGTGTAATTTTTCAGATAAATAAACTGCTCATCTTAAATATAAGAAAAGGGTCATTCTAAATGATTTTTCAACAAACTTAAAAATACACCAAAAATAAAGCAAAACAAATATCTATTTTATGTTTGGAAAGAAATAAATCATCAAAGCTAATTTTCAACAAGATTAGCATTAAAAAAAATGAGATATATATATTTTGAAATAAAAAAAGTGGTTTGACCATCAAAAGACAAATTCACATGGCACACAAGTTTTTATGATATTTCACAGATAAATTTTAAAAAAAAAATGATTTTTTTTTTTATTTCATTGTTTCAAACACTTGGTTGAAAATTTAAAGAGCTATCAACAATTCTTTGTGAATGCTTTGTCCCTTGTTTGTGATCATTAGGGATGAATGCACTGTTAATTTTTTATCAGAGGTGTCATGCTCTCCTTTAATTCATGGCCAGCCTTGCGATGAGTAGCACAACATTTAATACTAGTAGGCCCCCAGTAAATAGTGCACTGCAATAACATGGCTGGATACAGTAAAGAGAGCTGCGTCTTGAATCTGAATTTCATTATGGAATCCAGAATAAGTTTATTAAATATTCTTGTAAGTATTTTTCTTGTGTTAGAAAATGCTAGGTTTATTTTTGTGTTGAATTGATGAAATTGACTATGATGTGTTGAATTTATCTCAACAAGGTTCATTTTTATCATTATGGCTATTGAGTACTATTTCTATTATAAACAAGCTCATTTAATGTTGAATGGCTATCATATATATTCATAGAACATGCTTCTTGATGAAGTAGGATAGTTATGTTCCCCAAACGAAGTTTGGGAACATATTGTTTTTACTCTGTTTCTTATTATTATTATTATTATTATTTTTCTTCCTGGGTACTTTTTTGTCCGTGAGTGATCTCCGAAACTACACATCCGATTGAGGTGAAACCTTTTTAGGGTTAATAGGAATGTTATGTAGATTTGCGGAACGAAGGTCATTTTGCGCGCACGCGCATGCACGTGCGTGCGCGTGCATTGCGTAAAATGACCAATATACTTGATATAGCTGTAACTTTTATATTTTTTGATGAAATGCTTTGATACTCAGAATATAAGGATATACTAAAAGTGTAAACAAGATGACATGGTCAACATGCACATGCATGCACGTGCGCGCACGCGCAAAGCGTAAAATGACCAATATACTTGATATAAGCGTAACTTTTATACTTTTTGATGAAATGCTTTGATATTCAAAATATTTATATATATTAGAAGTGTAGACAAGATGACATGGTCATCATGCACATGCATGCATATGCATGCACGTGCGCGCGCGTGCAATGTGTTAAATGACCAATATACTTAATATAGCCGTAATTTTTATATTTTTTGATGAAAAACTTTGATATTAAGAATATACAGATATAATAAAAGTGTAGACAAGATAATATGGACATCACGCACATGCATGCACATGCGCGCGTGTGCAATATGTTAAATGACCAATATACTTAATATAGCCGTAACTTTTATATTTTTTGATGAAAAGCTTTGATACTAAGAATAAACAGACAAATTATAAGTGTAGACAAGATGGCGTGGTCATTATGAACATGCATGTAGGTGCGCATGCGCGCAATGCTAAGATGACCAATATACTTGATATAGCCGGAACTTATATATTTTTGATGAAATGTTTTGATACTGAGAATGTAAAGATGCATTAATAGTATAGAGGGGAAGACATGGTCATCCTGCACATGCATGCACGTGCGTGCGCGTGAAATGCGAAAAACGACCAATATACTTCATTGCCTTATTTAATGAAGCTTACAGGAAATGAGACACCAAAAGGGTGTTGGGGAGCGTTTGGGGAACATCTGTAACGGTCCCCGTTACAATTATAACTAGTTTTATTTGCCTTTGATGACTCGGGTGGGTTTTAATTATTTTTTTGTTGTTGACACTGGGCCAAGTTTAATCATTCATTTTCTGTTCTGTTACTTTTTTTGTTAATGTTTCCACTTAAAAAAATTCGCATCTATTTACTTTTCTCAATGTCATATTAAAGGATCAAAACTCTGCCGAGTCCAATTTTTTCTAATGATTTGTTTGCTTTCTGTACGCAAATAGAGGAACAAACATCCTCGGCACTTGTGTAGCAAAAAATTGTAATACATTTTGGGGATAGAGGATTTTCTGTAATGAGACAATTTTTCTGCTGAACTTTGAATTGTTCTGTTGAAGTGGGTTTTTCAAGTCAGTTAAATAGATATCAGTGAATCCGGTCTGAAAACCTAAAAGTGTGCAATAGTTTGGTAGGCAGGACTGGTTGTATTCCAATTCCATCCCAGGTGGTTAAAAAGTCGATACACAAGTGTACCTCCTAAAGAGGCAAAAATACAAATTTCTGACAGGAACGTGTAGAAGATTTAATATCCATGCTGTGTAATGTTTCTCTATTTTGGTGAGAGGTAATCCTCCGTCCTAGCTTGTATTGATGAGTTTGTTGACAAGTCTAGTTCAATATAACATGTCACCTGGTAGATACCTAGTTAAAAATGGACCTCGTTTTTATCAGAATCACTTGACCAACTGTTAGCTTTATATCTCCTGTGTGGATAAACATCGTATTTTCAATCCTCGTCAGAAAATCTGTTCTGAATTGGTAATGCAGGTAATCTGTTGCCATCATTTAGAGATGATAAGACAGAATTTAAAAGATAAATTTATTAAGTTTTATTGCAATTCTTTCTCTTTATTTGCAGGTAAAAATTTTCCTAACTTTCGGGTGCTGAATTAGGTCAACCTGTCTTCAAGAATGAGGAAAAAAGACAATTGGAGATCTTCATAAAATAAAATCATTCCCAAATTCAGCATCTATATTTCATACCTCAGGAAAAAAAATGCAGGGCATCGTATTTTCATTGCTTTCACTGACGTTCCTCTTCACATGCATTTCGACACAGGGCTTTGATGTTACCTTCCATCTGATGGAAGATCAGCCAAATAACACTCTGATAGGAAGCCTGGAAGAGGAAACCGGCCTCTCTAAGAAAATAAATGAATCACTCGCCAATCTAAAATTCAATCTCAAGAAAAAAGAAGAGCCAATAATCTCTTTATTTCGTCTTGCTGAATCTAGTCAGCTTTTTACCAACCAAGTGATTGATAGAGAAAATGTAAAGGTGTGCCAGTATAAAATACAGTGTGTGTTCGACTTTGACGTTGTTGTGACTAGTTCAGCTTCCAGCTACTTTGGTTCAATCCGTGTTCATGTCAATGTTACTGATGTTAATGATCACAGTCCAACATTTGATCCAAATCTTTTCCAACTCAATCTACCAGAGTCCACCACTGCTAACAAGAGTGTTTACAGAGTTGAGCCAGCACAAGATCTCGACAAAGGAGGTAATAACTCAGTGCAGTCATACCAGTTCATTCAAGTTGTGCCAGTACCTTCCATATCTATGGATTTCAGAATGGAAGAAATCATCTCTTCCTCTGAAGGATTGTCTCGTAACATCTTTACGAATGTTTCTCTGGACTACGAGCGGCAGAAGTCTTATGTTTATCACATCCTTGCTAGAGATGGTGGAAATCCACAAAAAACAGGAACTTTTACTCTAGAAATAAATGTTATAGATGAAAATGATAATTCTCCTATTTTCGTCAAATCTCGAGCAAATGTGACCATTGGGGAGAACACCTCTATTAACACACCATTTTATGTTTTCCATGCTAGTGATAAAGATTCTGGAAATAATGGTAAAATTGAATTTAGATTTAAAAAGTTTCAAGAGCAGTACCAGGAAATTGCATCATTGTTTTCCATTGAGAATGACACTGGCACAGTTAGAGTCATTGGTAACTTAAAATATGAACATGGAAAAGTATACCATATAGTTGTCGAAGCCATAGACAAAGGGGATATACCTAGATATGCTACAGCTCAACTTGATGTGACTGTAAAGGATTCTGGGAACAATGCCCCTAAAATAAACATCAACTTCTTATCCTCTGATCTTGGCAACAATACAGTGAGTGTTTCAGAGGAAGCCATCTTGGAGCAGGCAATCGCTGTGATTAATGTAGAAGACACTGACACTGGTCCTAATGGAGAAGTGACTTGTCGCACCTATAACACCTTTTTTGGTCTACAGAGTTTGAATGATGGATACAAAGTCATCGTGCAGCATTATTTGGATAGAGAAACTCAGAGCACACATACCATTAGGATCACTTGTGCAGACAAGGGGACTCCAGTATTAGAGAGTGTGGAACAGTTTACTGTGAATGTTCTGGATGCCAACGATAATCCACCAAAGTTCTCCGAATTCTACTACAATGCCAAAGTGGATGAAAACAATAACAGGGGGAAACAGATCATTCAAGTTCAAGCCACTGATAAAGATATCGGAGAGAATGGACAGATTTCTTACTTTATCGACCCTCCAACAGACAATAGATTCTCCATAGGTCATGATACAGGAATTGTGACAGCTAATGTCGACTTCGATAGGGAACAATCTGTGCATATCACATTCACTGTAAGGGCTACTGACCATGGAACTCCACCTCAAAATACAACAGCCAACATTTGGTTGGATATAGAGGATGTTAATGACAATCCACCTAATTTTCTGAAGGCCAACTTTGTCTTTTCTGTGAATGAAAATCTACCTGAAAATTCATTCGTAGGAGCAGTTCAAGCAGTGGACAAAGATGAAGGCAAAAATGGAGAATTCATCTTTGCCATTTCAGAGGACTATGCCAACAAGTCTGCCATTCCTTTCACTGTGTCTTCCTCAGGAGAGATAAAAACCTATCAGCCTCTCGACAGGGAGTTGCTGAACCGATATGACTTCCAAGTCATTGCTGTGGATAAAGGAAACCCCTCTTTAAAAGGATCGGCTCATGTTACAGTCAACATCAATGACAAGAATGACAATGCACCCATTTTCATTTTCCCTAGCACTGATAACCACACCATAATCATTCCAAACACAACTCCCCTTGAATCCATTATAGCTTCTATTCAGGCCTATGATTTGGATGAGGATTCTAATGGTTATGGAAATGGGAAAGTTCTTTTTTACATTGATGGTGGAAATGAAGGAGATGTGTTTTATTTGAATCATGATACTGGCAGTCTTCACTACAGAAAGCCTGTTGGTGTGGCTGAAGACTATACCTTCCACCTGAAAATACGGGCCCGTGATAATGGTAACGAGGCTCTGGAAGCAAGGCGAGATCTTGACATTATTGTAAAGTACATGAACGCTACTGCTGGTCCTCTGCATAACCAGGATGACTCTGACAAGAACATTCTAATTGTAGTTATTGTGGTTTGTGTCACCATTGTTGTGTCTGTGGCACTCATTGCCGTCATCTGCATGCTTCGGCGAAAGAATGAGGATAAGATGAAGGAAGATGGGCCTCCATTCTTGGCTTCACGCTCTCCTACCTCCACTCTCTATGACAGACCCCCAGCCTACCAGAATGTGACCCAGGGAGACAAGTCCAGACCACGGGTCAGCTTCTCCAAAGAAAATGACACATTCACCAAACAGCAACTGATGGAGAAAATGACAGGTCATGCGGTAAGTCTAATATAACAAACAGTGAAAGATGTGTCAAGAGAACCTGCTTCTAAATTATTACTAGTATTTATATGATTATTTATAGAGATATAAACATAAGCAATAAAATGTCTTTCATTATAAGTATGGGAAATAATGGTTGCAGCTATTGCAAAAGAAATTTACAGAACCGCTTATGTAGGTCATGTATTTTTTCTGCAAAAGCTGCAGTGTTAATTCCCATACTAACAAACAAACTAAGTATTTTATTGCTTAAATAAATAAGAAAACTGATGAAGTGATACTTTTTTGTAATAAACTTTCATTAAAAGTTTACACCTATCTGCATGCTAAACAATATCACTTTAAATCCTCAAATGGATATTTGTAATGTCACTATTAAATAAGAAAAAGGTACAAGTTTTTTTAGCTTTGTATTTTTGAAATCACACCATTTCTCCTGTTAAGAGATCACAACGTGTGAATCAGTGTCCCATTTACTTCAAGATCCCTCCAAAGATTGCAGTGAAATGGGGGGACAAAGGAGCATTTGACCCCCACAGCCTATCTCTTTCCGTAATCGTGGTCTTTGTGTTTGGTCACAACTGTCTGACATTGTAGTTTTGTAAAGTTTCCACTTCCAGATGACATTCAGTTTTGTTTAAATTTAAATTTTAAAACACTCGGAAACAAAGCTTGGTTTTTGAAAGGGAGACTTATTAAGAAAATGGTTTTCCAATCAGTAGATGAACACAAAGGCCTAGTAAAACTAGGTTTTTTTTATACGAGTTTTATTTTGATAAGGACAAAGTCATATTTTATTAGGTAACTAGCCCAGTTAATTATAGGCAAGTTTAAAAAAAGCTGTTTTGTAGACTGTTTTAAAAAAATAATATATTGTAAATTAAGGCAAGGAAATTTAATCTAATATATAAAAAATACTTCAGTTCTTATATAAGTAAAAAAAGTGGTTTATAATATTTGTTAAGTACCATAACAATACGTCAAATACTTATTGCAAAAAGTACTCTTGTTTATGAATGTGCATTTTCTTGCCCAAGCCATGTTGCACGGAAGAATTAAGACAAAAATAATCATCTGAAATCTGTTGAAAAGTTGAAACAAAGAAGATTATCATTTAACTGTTAAGGTTACCACAGTCATGCAAACTTTAAAAAACAGAGTTACTCACAGTTTTGAAAAGAAACTATCACTTGACAAAACAGTTTGTATACTAATTTTATCAGAGAATCATCTGCTCTTCTTTTACCAGAAATGTGATACTGATTTCTTTGAAAGAAATTTCTTTGAGTTTGGTAAGAGAAACAAAGGGTTTATCATTGGTATCACGTTTTGGGTAGTTTTCTGTTTAACACTGAAATACATCCCTTTCCACTCGCTGATAATGCAGTAGATAAAATTTACGTGGTTAATGGTGTTTTTTATACCGCAGTTACGAAAAGAAAAGATAGCTTTTAAATTTATCTGATAAATTGTTGCATTGTAAATCTGTTTATTTCCAAGTACCAAACAGAAAAGATACATGTACTTTTTTTTTCAAAATTGCAATCTCACTGGAAGGTGAAATAATAAGTTCATCATTTTATTTACTGAGTAAAAGTTAAGTGGGTATAGATAAATATAATTTTTGAAAAATGAAACACCTGTACATGGAATATTACTGTTTCTATTTGTTCACTTGATTCACGAACAGACAGATAAAACTTCACAGTCGGAAAACCATCACATTTAGACAGATGTCGCAAAATTAATGACATAAAATACCGATTTTACCAACAACAACAAGTAACGCTATAATGGTCTCAACTTTGGTTGATGTGTAGAAAGTCTCTCTTGTCTTAGATGTTTGCTTAATTAGATAGGTAGGCTCTCTGAACCAACGGCTCAATGATAAACATTAGGTGTGGAGTGATGAACATGTTTGCTAAGTTAGGAATCTTTGGAGAAGCTGGAATGACAGATTCACAGAAATTTTAAAAACATTTAGTCTGAAATTTATTGATAATTAGACATTACGTATTTATGATTTTATAAGATTGACTAAACTTTTAATTAATACAGTATGTTGGATATGAAGTAAAATTATGCATCAAAATAATTCAAGTTCAAATTACTGAAAACTATTATATTGAGATTGTGAAGATAACTGAAGGACATCTACTTCTATACCAATTTAAAATATATATATATATATATATATATATATATATATATATATATATATATATATATATATATATATATATATATATATATATATATATATATATATATATTTAAATTTCTTTTTTCAGAATGGAAGAATAGAATCAGGAAAATATATGAGTCACAGTCAACAGGTATATCTTGAAATGATTACAATTTTATGAATATTGTTTAAATCAGTGTTTTGCATTTTTTTTTTTTTTAATAAAGCCTTGGATAAAAAAAAATTACCAGATGTTTTGAAAGGGGGCAGTATTGATTTCACAAACACCAAAATAAATCAGAAATGACTAGAATATAATTCAGTGGTTTTCAATGGTGGTATCACATGCTTGGATAGATGTGAAAATACAGTCCATTTTCTTGAATTTCAAGAAAAGGCTTATTGTTGTCATAGCAGGTGCTGCCCCTAAAAAATGCCCTTTCAGAGTAAAAGTGAAAGTCATTCTAGCATTTTCTCATCCTTTTGACAACTGAGATTGAATAAAAAATACAGGTATCAGTGGAAAAAAAGACATGGTATAAGCATTTGATGACTTTTTCTGATTTATGAAATCTTGGTCATAAAATTGAAAATTATCTATCCATCAGATTTTTTTTTTTTTTGGTATTTTGATCTCTTTAGAAAATCATAGAGGCATTCCAAGAAAAGTGAATAACATGGGTTAAGATTCAATTATCAAATTTAAAAAATTCAATTTTAGAGCTTTTAATATTTCAGTTTGTTTTGTTCTGTAACATATTTCTGGCACCAGTATCAGTGACTGGAACAAGATGAGAAGTTCAAATCCCATGTGCAATCCAACTTTAATTTAACACCATATTATGAGAGATAATGCCAACACAGACTAGTGCCTTATATCACACATTAAGTTTTTATGCAAAAACCCAATAGAAATTTGAAGACCTATAGCAAAGAGTTGATAGGGTAGAACTAAAAAAATGGATAATTGATATAAATCAACAGCTTCACAGGTAGAGATAAATAAATAATATTTGTCTGTAATTTTACAATATATATGATGAAGCTAAAAGGGATTAATTGTACCATTTTACTTTGAACTTTTTTTTTCAAAGGAAAAGGGTATAAATATATTACCAGGTAGAAGTGTGAATTTCATAACAAAAAAAAAAAAAAAAAAGGAAAGGGAAAGAAAAGTATTGTAAAATAAAAAAAATTAAAACACACACATGCACACACATTGAAATAATTTAAAAAAGGAATGTAACAAGCAATTGATTATGCACTAAATATAAATATTTATTTCCTCTTTAGAATCCCAAGTCACACACAGAGGAGAGTCCAAGTGAAACGTCAGGGGAGACAATCCCATCAGATAGCGGGCACGGGGGATCTGAGGAAGACTTCACTAGTCATAACCACAATAACAATATTGGTTAGTGTCCTTTCCTTATTCTCTTATCTTAGCAGAAAAAAATATTTTAATTGAAAAAAAGTATATAAGTAATGAGTCCTTGTTAAATGTGAAAAAGTAGTGAGATGGAAAAATTCAACATATTCATCTAGACTTGTATACGTGTAAACTTTTGAAAAATTATGCAAGACTTGAAATTTCTCATAAATTAATTACATTTTTTTGATAAACTTATAAAAAATTTGGAAATTGATAGACAAAAATCTCTTAAAATTTTCTAGAGAAATTTTGGAAATAATTCAAGAATTAAATATTTACTAATTTTCTTTACAGATAAAAGACTTCCCCTACAACCAACTTTCTTGAAAAATGGAGTCTTTGTGATGCAAGAGGCCCATAGCAATCAGACAAATACTCTCCCAAATGAGAGACGCTTAAATTCAGTGTCATCCAACATGCCAGTGTCTAAATACATGGATGACAGTTTATTAACTTCTAGTATTAATTCACTTTGGTCAGATAATAACCACACAATTAACAGACAAAATAGTAACAATGTGCAAAAGTTACCCACAATTCCTGCTTGGACGGGATATCATACGAGTGATAGAATGAACGACAGTTTATTATTTTATTCCAAAGACACAACACTGGGAAGTCATAGTGCACACAGCCGTGATGACGATGAATGTACAACAACCAGTGGAAGTTACACAATTAACGATGATATTGATGATAGTTTTGATAACAGGCCAAGAGATATGTTTGTTTAGTGCGTTTGCATTGAATATCAAAATTTATGTATCACTAACTTTATTTATAATTGTGTAACCAAAGATTTTTTTTCATTATGATGAACAAGTTATACTAATGAAACAAAAGTGCTCATAACTTAATGTGGACAATACACATGAACAGTTATAGAGAGAAATAAAAAAGACTGCGAGACCCATCCAGTGGATTGTGGTGACGATTTCCTGACCAGGGTTAAGTCACACCATTCTGTAGAACCTCCGTGAGACTTGGACATTGCCAAAAGTGGTGAGTTTATTATACTGTATTCACCGTGAATTTTGCATTGTACAATTAGACTACATCAAACATTAATATTTTTGTTGACAAATCTTTTGTTCTGTTTCAGGCTGGAGAAGTATAGTGGTTCTATTACAAACACAGGGTCTGCCACAAGAAATAATTACCAGACATCTAATATGCCAGTATTAAACATTGTTAAAAATAAGAAAAAAATGCATAAGTTAGTGAAAATAAAAATTGTGTTCATTATATATCAATTTGTATATATAACGGAATGAAAAATAACCCCAGTAATGAACTTGTATGTCAGATCTCATAAACTTTGTATAGCAAATGTGTCCTATTGCAATATTCTTAACTTCAGCAATATAATTTGTTCGTGCTGACTGAACCTCGACTTGATCTCTCCTTGTTTTTGTTCCTAATAGAGATGAGAGCCGAGCTTGTGAAATCCTGTTATGTATTTTATTTAAAACGTATGCATAATGTTAATAGTAATGGCAGCGTTTGAATGTTATTAAAATGATCAAAATAATAAAATGAATAGAACGGAGAAATTATTACTGTGTTGGATTTATACTATACCACTACAACTATAATTAACTGGAAAAAGGACGCACACATTTATGTGAATTTTTCAAAAGATATTGACCAAAATTTAGCTCTTAATTTTGAGGTGGAAAATATATTTTGATTTTTTTTTAATTTTCGAGAAGCTGCGAGAGATTGAAAGTTTAATTGATTGGCAAATTTACGAGCAGAGAATATTCGCAAAATTAATGTACACACATTAATGTTCGCAATATCTAGTGTTTAGCAGAAAATAAAAAGTATATAGTTGTATGTAAAAAGAATCTTGAACAAAGTTAGAATTATATGTTTGTTGTAGGTAACCCAGTTTATTACATTTTCAACAGTGAAATATTGTGATTTATTTATTGAATAAAAGTGATGATATTCTGTCACAGTGTGAAAGGATACCAAAGTGATATTCTGTTGTTGTGTGAAAGGATATCAACGTAAGTAAAACTAATTTCTGTCCGTCATAGATAGAGACAGAAACTAAACCATCTTGATAGAGACTAAAACTGCCATTTTTTTCGCAAAGTTGTTGCTAAAATCCATGTTGAAATGTTTTAAATCTCACAATTGCTAAGCTATGACGTCTAAACCGCTCAACTATGACGTCTCAGCCTATGACATGTGGTAAGAAAAACAGAGACAAAGGGATATCAAAGAAAATGTAATAAACAGAAAATTAAATGTTTTGTAGTTGGATATGGACTTTATTTTACTCGTGAAATAAATTCCATATCCAACTACAAAACATTGAACATGTTGAAGTTCCTCTTTATAATTTGTAAGAGATGAATAAAAAAAAAAGAAAGAAGAAGAAAACACACACACCACCTCCCCATTTCAAGGTTTTTCTTTTTAAGGACCCTTTTTTGCACTACACTATAGAGTTACAATTCATCCTTTGTGCAGTTACGTCAGAGCTATTAAAATGAAATAAATTGGAATCTACGTTATATTACTCAATTTGTAAATAATTTAAAGAAATCTTAGCATTTTGTCAGGCCAAGATCAATTGAACACTTTATTTGCATGTACTGTATTTTCCCCACATAAATAAGCAACAATGATTTCTGTTGATCAGTAGTTTTTTGTCTGAGAGCATTTTTCCTGGGCGTAAATAGCTAGTACCCTGTATTGAAAATTAAATAAGTAAACTAAGTATTTCACCTTTATACAATACAATTTTCTCAATGTCCAGGCTCCGAAACCATAAACTGAGATCAGACTACTTAAAGTCAAAATTTCAATTCTGTGTAACTTTTGAAATGATCAAGAAAATCAAACCAATTTTTCATTGAGTGTTTGTTTCTGAATATTTGACAAACTTGCAACTTTTCAGACATGTATTAAGACTGTTCTCGGTTTATGGTCTTGAGGTCAGCAGATAACATCTTCCATTAGTACAGGAAGTCCTTCAGAAAAAAAAATTAATCGGATAAACTATTGTGCTCTTTCATCCCAAGTTGAGGTACGATATCCAGAATTCTCAGTCTGGTGTCTACAACTACTGTATCTACTCCGCCATTTGAGTCCATATGTGACAGTTATCGGGTATTATCCATCCTCACAACGTCAGGGGTCCAGAGTCGACACGACTATGGAACGCCAAATTAACATATATTCAAATATTTGTACCTATCTTCAAATAATTGTACCTATCTTCAAATCAATTGTACCTATCTTCAAATGAATTGTACCTATCTTTAAATCAATTGTACCTATCTTCAAATGAATTAGAGATAGGTATAATTCAATTATACCTTTCTTTAATTCATTTGAAATTTGAAGATAGGTACAAATGCAATGAATTGAAGATAGGTATAATTGATTTAAAGATAGGTACCATTGAATTGAACCTATCTTTAATTACTAAGATATTGGTAATAATAACTACTCCCTTCATTATACGTCATTTCCGTTACGTCTACCGATCTCCGACACTTCCGGGGTACTCGGGTATACGAAATATATGGAGATAACGAACAGTATTCAAGCTCAAAAGTCCATTAAACAATACAAAATAGGAGCAGAGCAAACACGGACCTCTAAACATCAGAGGTGGGATCAGGTGCCATGGAGGAGTGAGCATCCCCTGCCGACCGGTCACACCCGCCGTGTGCTCCTTGTCATGTATATATTTTTTCGCTCACTTATTGACATACATGTGTATTTTAATAAGTATATAATGCTTTTTGCACATTTTAACATACCTTTATTTCTCCTTTCAATCCTCGTTGTCGTGGCTCTGTATGTTTCCCTCCATGTTCAATATTGTCTCCTAGGGAGCGTTCATTATTTTCAAGAACACAAAACGAATTGAACCTAGGTATAATTGAATTGTACCTATCTTCAAATCCTTTGTGGATATGTTCTAATTGTACCTATCTTCAAATCAATTGTACCTATCTTCAAATGAATTGTACCTATCTTTAAATCAATTATACCTATCTTCAAATGAATTAGAGATAGGTATAATTCAATTGAACCTATCTTTAATTGAATTGAAGATAGGTGTAATTCCATTAAAGATAGGTATAATTTATTTGTACCTAGGTATAACTATTTAGAGATAGGTATAATTATTTACACCTATCTTCAATTCAATTGTACCTATCTTTAATTCAATTGTACCTATCTTTAATTCATTTGAAGATAGGTACAATTATTTGAAGATAGGTACATGTACAATTATTTGAAGATAGGTACAAATATTTGAATATATGTTAATTTGGCGTTCCATACACGACGTCAAACGGCAACGCGTTGACTCTGGACCCCTGACGTTGTAAGGATGGTTATTACATGGCCGTGCCCCCCCCCCCCCCTCAATAATTTGCCGATATATAGAATACTATGGAAAACATAGTTACTATATGCTTGTGCCCCCTCAATAATAACGTCTAATAAGCTTCTTTTTTTTTTTTTGCTTGTCAAGGAATTTGGGTAGTGGATGGTGCCCCCCAACTGAAAATGTACGGTTGTACCCCCTCAAAGTGAAATTGCTTCCTACGGGCCTATATTATCATAATGAAATGACGTAAACGATAGGAATGGGGGGGGGGGGTAAATGAACTGCATTTAAAAAGTCAATTTATAAATAGTTGTATCAACATTTATGTTGTCAAATATGACTTTGTATTGAACTTGCATATAATTTTTTTTTATTGCATGATCTTCATTATTAAGATACTGCATGCTGCTTCCATTAAAAAAAAATCAGATATCAACATTATAAAATTTTGTTCCGAGATTTTACTTTACAAACATTGAAGATAAAATAGCAGCACTTATATAACCATTGTTATGCCCTTAATTAAGGTGATTCTATACTCACACTTTTATGGGTTCAAGGTTGAAAAAAACTGCATTAATTTCCACAGAATATAGTTTAAAATAATTTATAATCATGAAAAATTATAGGTTGCCACTTTTTTGTCAAACACAGATTTAAAAAAACCTCATTTGTGGTAAATAACATCAGAATCACTGTAAATCTTTTTTTAAAAAAAGAATAAATAATCAATTTAACGCTCCCAGTGATTCTCTTTTACAAATAAATGGCTTGGACAAAACTTTGCTATTTTTTCCAGTGACCTTGAAGTCTTGACTTGCTGGAATGGCGTTGGGTCAAGACCATGACACACCCTCGGATCATTAGGAAATATTATTTTTTATTTCTTTTATCAAATAATATTTTTTATACACCTATTTTAGAAAAATCCTTCCAAAGGATATATGTTACTGGGCACTAACTTAAATTAATGAAAGATTTTGCAAGAAGGCATGACATCATACATGTATGAGTGAATATTACATGTACCTTAAATAAAACAATGTTATGTTCACCCGATAATTAGTACACGGTTTCCTCTGGCCGTGCTCATCTACCTTGAAAAATTGTTTCCAATATTACGCCGTACAATATAAATCTATACTGAAAAAAGTCTAACATTTTCAATACGGTCACAACCAACAACAACAAAAAACAAGGTGTGTTTGTGAAACACTGATGCCCCCGTATGGCTACTTATCGCAAAGGTTAAACTTTCTCAAATGCAAATCAAATATGTTGGTACCCAAAGGTCTTATCTAGAGAAATGTACCTGTGAAATATGAGAGCCCTAGCAGCAACCATTGAATATATATGGAAAAGGTTAAAGTTTTTTTTAAGAAGTATGTCAAACATCAAGGTCAAGGACAAATGGTCAAAATTAATGGTGCCCAAGGAAAGACCTTCTCCCAAGAAATACACAGATGAAATATTAAAGCCGAAGCACCAATCGTTCAAAAGGTATGACCAAGGTTAAATTTTTTCAAAAGGTCAAACTCCAAGGTCAAAAGGTCAAAGTTGTTGAAATCCAAAGAAAGGGCTTCTCACAAGGATACATGTAACATATGTAAAGTATAAAAGCCCTAGCACAAAACGTTCAAAAGTTATCTTCAAGGTTAAAGTTTTCCAAAAGTAGGCCAAACTCCAAAGTCAAAAGACCAAAGTTGTTGGTATCCAAAGGAAGGTATTGTCACAAGGATTACATATGTGAATTATGAAAGCCCTAGCACCAATCGTTCAAAAGTTATGGCAAGGTTATAGTTTTCCAAAAGTAGGTCACACTCCAAGGTCAAGGTAAAAGGGTCAAAGTTGTTGGTATCCAAAGGAAGTTCTTGTCACATGGATTAGACCTGTGAAGCATGAAAGCCCTAGCACCAACAATTCAAAAGTTATGGCCAAGGTTAAAGTTTTACAAAAGTAGGCAAAAACTCCTAGGTCAAGGTCAAAAGGTCAAAGTTGTTGATATCTAAAGGAAGGTCTTGTCACAAGGATTACACATGTGAAGTATGAACGCCTTAGCATCAATTGTTCAAAAGTTATGGCCAAGGTTATAGTTTGGTAAAATTTTGCAAAACTCGGTCAAACTCCAAGGTCAAAAGGTCAAATTTAATGGTACCCAAAGAAAGGTCTTGTCACAAGGAATACATATGTGAAATATGAAAGCCATAGCTCCAACCAATCAAAAGGTATGGATAAGGTTAAAGTTTTTGCGTACAAACAGACAGACAGACAGACAGACGGACGGACAGGGCAAAAACTATTTACCCCCGAATCTTCGATACGGGGGCATAAAAAATAAGATATTGGACCTGTTGATGAGATGTTGGACCGCTTACGTCACACTGTAGGCAGGATCAGCTAAATCTTATATGCATTCGTTAGTGTACGACAGTTTGACCAAGATTAAACTGCAGTGCAGGTAAATAAAATTTACATCATGGAAGCCACCACAAGGTTACCCCCCCCCCCCCCAAAAAAAGCTAAACTATGTGCCTTCGGCATAACGATTTTGGTTCTTCCGTCCAATTAAAATCATTGTTGCCCTCGAACCCAGTCAATAAATGTACACTGTATTGAAATTGATCTTTATACAATGAAAAAGAAAAAGAAATTTTTTTCCCGAAAAATAATTTCCAGACAGTCAGATCAATGTGAATGTAATAATGTTGACGTGAAGGAAGCAAAATACCCGACTAAGCCTTAATCTTGTGAAATATGAGCCAAATGAAAAATTATTTCCGAATAATTGGGATAAAACTAGGGTAAACAGGGATCGTTAACGAAAGCGTGATAACTCGAGCTGCATTTAAGCGTATCACTGGGGTGCCATAAATTGTTCTTTCGATATAACAATCTCGCTCAATACTCTTCAAATCAAAGACCTAAATCTTTTGGTCTATGTTAAGAATAAACAAATAAATAAATGATTAAATAACAAGCAATTTTTTTTATATAGAATATTTATTGCTTCACAATGTTATCAATTTTAATTTAAATCATTAAACACACAAGAAAAGGTCAAATGACATGATTATTGTCTTACTCTTCCAAATAAGTTTTCCATTTACCCGGTGCAAAAAAAAATAATGAAAGAGCGTGTGATATTACAAAATAATTACGAGTATTTTATTCAAATAAATTTTTAGTAATTTAAGAATCATTATGTAATAAATATGTACAGTGTATATAGATTTTTCGATAAATATATGAAAACTCAGTGCCATAAACACTATCTAATCCATATCCGAACAAAAAAAGGACAACAAAAAACCTCAGGTAAAATCCTGTCAGAGTGAATGCAACTAGACACCTCATTCAATATCCAAATGAAAAAAAAAACTCAGTGAATACCCAATCAGAACGAAGGCAACAACAAACCTCGGTCAATATCTAGCCAGAAAGAAGGCAACAGCAAACCTCAGTCAATAAACAATCAGAACGAAGGCAACAACAAACCTCGGTCAATATCTAGTCAGAAAGAAGGCAACAGCAAACCTCAGTCAATAAACAATCAGAACGAAGACAACAACAAACCTCGGTCAATATCTAGTCCGAAGGAAGGCAACAACAAACCTCGGTCAATATCTAGTCAGAAAGAAGGCAACAGCAAACCTCAGTCAATAAACAATCAGAACGAAGGCAACAACAAACCTCGGTCAATATCTAGTCCGAAGGAAGGCAACAACAAACCTCAGTCACTATCTAGTCAGAAGGAAGGCAACAACAAACCTCGGTCAATATCTAGTCAGAAGGAAGGCAACAACAAACTTCAGTCAATATCTAGTCAGAAGGAAGACAACAACAAACCTCGGTCAATATCTAGTCAGAAGGAAGGCAACAACAAACAATCAGAATGAACGCAAAACTCCGAAAATGAAGGTAACAACAAACCGCAGTCTATGCTTAATAAGAATAAAGGCAATAAAAACCTCAACCTCAGCCTCAACGCAATCAGAGTGAAGACTACGGCAAACCTCAGCCAATAACTATTTAGATTGAGGGCATCAATAAACCTCAGCCAATATCCAAACAGAATGCAGGCAACAATAAACTTCAGCCAATACCCAATCAGAATGAAGTTAAAAATAAACCTAGGCAAAACCCAATCAGAATAAAGGCAACACAATTTTCTGCTTATACTTAATCAGAATGAAGGCAAAAAAATCTTCAGTTTATACCCAGTCAGAATGAAGGCAACAACAAACCTCAGTCAACGCCTAATAAGAATGAAGGCAACAAATAATACCCAAAACAGAATAAACGTAACAACAAGCCTCAGTCAATACTCAGAATAAAGACAACAATAGCATTATTAATCTCCACCAGAAAGAAGGCAACAACAAATCTCAGTCAATACCCAATCAGAACGAAAGCATTTATAAACCTAGGTCAATACCTAATCAAAATAAATGCAACAACAAACCGCATTCAATACCCAACCAGACGAAGGCAATACAAACCACAAGTCAATACCCAACCAGAACGAAGGCAATACAAACCTCGGTCAATACCCAATCAGAATGAAGGCAATACAAACCTCGGTCGATACCTAATCAAAATAAATGCAACAACAAACCACAATCAATACCCAACCAGAACGAAGGCAATACAAACCTCGGTCAATACCCAACCAGAACGAAGGCAACAACAAACCTCAGTCAATACCCAATCAGAACGAAGGCAACAAAAAATATCAGTCAATACTCAATCAGAATGGCAGGAACAACCTCTGTCAGTGAATATCCGATCAAAATGAAGACAACAACAAACCTCAGTCAATACACAATCAGAATGAAGACAACAATACCCAAATTAAAGGTAACGACAAAGTCTATGCTTAATCAGAATAAAGGCAATGAAATCTTCAATCCCAACCAGAACAAAGGCAACACAATCCCCAGCCTATACCCAATCAGAATGAAGCTAACAACCCCAAGTCAATACCCAATCAGAATAAAGGCAACACAAATCTCTGCCAATACCCAGGTATAGACTTTATTTATAACAATTTTTTGAATCGTTATAACGATTTCAACAAATTTGTTATAACAGATTCGACAATTCCTTATATCGAATTCAAAAATATTTTTGATAGGCTTCCCTAGGCTTCCATTATCAAAGAAGATGGACGAACATGGCAAGCGAAATGCTTATGATGCGACAAATATTACGGTGAAATTTTAAATCTCAATTATAACAAAATTTTCTTTTGATATTTCATCTAACATTTAAGTATACTTTATATGTAAAGTCTCCACAATTTGCCAAAATATCACAAAGATTGAAATAACTTTTCTATGAAATAGCATACGCACACCAAAGTGGGAAAAAAGAATCATTTTCTCATATTATAACACAATTTTTCCATATGACTGGGTCTTCGCTCTTTTTTTTTCTTTTGAAAGTTTATCCTCAAAGTATGCGTAATAATATACTTTTTTTTTTGGTTAACAAAAACATGGAGCAAAGACCCACTCTACCTTAAAAATACATTTTTATGACACAACATTCGTATATTTCCGAGAAATACTTGGTCCATTTAGTTAAGAGTCATATCACAAACATTATTTAAATGCCATGGTTTGTCAAGTATAAGTAGTTGTCGGCATTTTAGTATCAAATTAAAAGAACATAATACTCGGGACTTTTATAAAGCCAGGGGGTTCGAACCCCAAGAATATTATATTATACCATATTATTTTTTTAATAATAGAATAATTTTTGCCGAGAAAATTTTCCGCAGAAAAGTTTTGTTTGTCATAATTTCATAAATTTCGATCGTAAGAACTTAAATTAATACTAAATTCACAAATTGAATATGATTTTTATATAGGCATTCTGCACTTCTGAAGAAAAAAAAACATCATAACAAATTATACTAATTTATTTAGTAAATTATTATCCTTCGTCAGAGCTGGAAGATATTTAATGAAGAGATCACGTTGTAAATTTTTTTTTTATTAAAACTTGATTTTATAAAATATATTTGAGCTAACTATGATCAAACTGAAGAAATGTCAAGCTCTAGCACCTTTACCGCCGAAATATGGCTGAAATACATCATGTCTCTGCTGCTGGGTTGTCGACGACTCGCGAGTTACCGAACTTCCCACAATATTCATGCTTTCACCATCACAATCATAGCCAAGTCATATCTTCCTAAAATGCGTACACCTACAAGAACTTGCAAAAACAAAAAGAAAATACATTTTAGTGAATGAAGCCATACCAAGTGACAATGATTAAAATCAAGATTATTTGATTTGAACCAAACTTACTGCGATGATGTCCAAAGGAAAAAAAAATCTCCCTCCTTTTTTGATGACCTATAAATTATAGGCTATAATATATATTTTTAAAACACTTCAAAGCGACATACTTATCTTAATAATAATTGTTTTGTAGGTAAGATAAAATCAATTTATTTATAATACATGTATAAGTGATATTCATTTGGTGTTTATTATAAACATTTCAAAGAACTACTGGGAAGATCACTGATCAATAGTCTCCGATCAGACTTTGATGTAAAAAGTGGACTAAGCCATCGCGTTTACTCCGAACTACGATGTAATGGTTTCTCTTCCCTTTTCATTTGATCGTGACTAAATTTATAATATTTCAAGTTTCATATTTTTTAACTAATTAATTAAATTAAATTTCTTTATTTATTTTAATTTATTTTTCATTTTGTTTGAAAAATATATATGGGCTCTCTCTCTTTCTCTCTCTCTCTCTCTCTATTATGTATATTGGGGGGCTACCCTCCTTTCAAAAACGATACAGTAACTACGTTCCTGCATTAAATCTTTCGAAAAAGCGAAAAATACATTTTCAGATAACCAGCTTAAAATTACTTTTATGTCGGATAAAGTGCGATGTCATCAATAGGCAGTTTGTCATTTTGCCAAACTCGTGATAGTTGCATAATAGAGACTGGAATGGCCATCGATCCTCATGTGTTTTGTTTATGTTTTTATGACTTTTAAAAAATAGGTTTAACATGGTAAATTTTATCACAGGTAGATCTTTTGGGGTTTTATAAACCTGTGCTAAATTACAAGAGAAACAACTTTTGAATGACGTTTAGTACTCGATTTAAAACTTTCTATCGTGGAACCTGATCAGAACTTAGTCAAGTGATATGTAATCTTTTATTTGAATAAAAAGTTATAAAAAAGATTTTAAAAAAAGCCGATGACGCAGTATAGTATACAACAAAAGTAAGTGTGGGTATTTTCTTCTTAAGGGTAGTCCTAACAACCTTTACTGTTTTCTACGCCATCTTCATGTTTTTTTTTATCCAGTCAACTGGTGTCAAGGTAATGAAAAGGACATAAAGTATGCTAAAAGTCATTTTCATAAACACATGCTTTCCTGCATATATTTAGACTAATATTAATATTATTTTTCATTCAATAGCTACATATTCCAGAATATGTCTTGACCTTAAACATAACAGAACACGCAATTTAAAATCATCTGTACCAATTTACAGAAATGGGGATCAGGGCAAAATCCAGATATACATAAGTAAAGCTATCATTACGTGGATATCGGTTTGGTTAAATTATTTGTACATCACATCGTAATTGTATAAACATACAAATATCATATCTTTTTCCTGCAAAATTAAGCTTTGTAATTCAATGAATGTGCGACAAAATTAAGCTTTGTAATTCAATGAATGTGCGACTTAACTATAAAAAAGTCATATAACTAACAGAGAGACAGACAAAGATCAAATGATCTTTTCTTGTGATTTTACCGTACTATCTGCAATATACAGAGAGAGAGAAAATTAATAGCATTTTACATCCCTAAAATTATTTTCTTCGATCAGTTGATATCAAAATTTGCATACGGGTTTCTCGAGACATGATGCACATCATGGCATACTAAATATGCTTTATTGAATAGAAAATATAACTGAGACATGCTTTCGTAAATCGACCCGGATAAAATCAAAGAAGGAAAAACTTTTCTTCTACCATACTTGAGGGTTTTTGAGGAATTGTCAATATTTATAATCGTTTTTACCTTTCAATGTTGCGTATTTTCTTTCCGGTGATCTAATTTAAAATGATTTTATCGCAGGCACTTGACGTACATATTTTTCTTTTTTAATAAGAAAAATATGATATATAACGTCAAGTGCATGTGGAATATATCGGAATATATCGCTTACCATTGTATTCATTGATAAATGTACTCGAGAACACTCCTTACTTATCTATTTAAAAGGTCAAGGCTCATATGTGCAGGGTGTGGTGGCGGTTATTTCCAATGACGTAAGCTGATGTCACCATGACAGCCTCACAATGTGTCAATGGGACCTATGTTAGCTAAATATAACACGTATAGATATAAATAAAGAGATTTGAAAGATTTTATTCAACGTGTTAAAGTGCCTGCGCACCTCAATTGTTATTGATGTCTTTAATTTCTCAAACACTAACAATAACGTTGTATTTATTCGATAAACATCAAGGTAGCCCCCTACAAATTATTAAAATCGGTGTATATTTCTTATATACAATATAAATAGTATAAAAGATATATATGTATACAATTGTATTCTAGGATTGTAAAATCAATCAATTTTTAATAACCGGTTACTCGCCAGCCTTTCCGATCGGGTGCTCGGGTACTTGGTCATTATTCAAGAAAAACAAGATGTGTTTGTGAAACACTGATGCCCCCGTATGGCAACTTATAGCAAAGGTTAAACTTTCTCAAGTGCAAATCAAATATGTTGGTACCCAAAGTAAGGTCTTGTCTCGAGGAATAAACCTGTGAAATATGAAAGCCCTAGCAGCAACTATTGAATAGATATGGTAAAGATTAAAGTTTTTTCAAAAGTATGTCAAACATCAAGGTCAAGATCAAATGGTCAAAATTGATGGTGCCCAAGGAAAGGCCTTCTCCCAAGAAATACACAGGTGAAATATGAAAGCCGAAGCACCAATCGTTCAAAAGTTATGGCAAAGTTCAAGTTTTCCAAAAGTAGGTCAAACTCCAAGGTCAAAGGATCAAAGTTGTTGGTATCCAAAGGAAGGTCTTGTCACCAGGATTACATATGTGAAGTATGAAAGCCCTAGCACCAACCGTTGAAGAGTTATGTCTAAGGTTAAAGTTTTCCAAAAGTAGATCAAAATCCAAGGTCAAAAGGTCAAAGTTGTTGGTATCCACAGGAAGGTCTTGTTACAAGGATCGCACATATGAAGTATGAAAGCCCTAGCACCAATTGTTCAAAAGTTATGGCCAAGGTTAAAGTTTGGAAAAATTTTGCAAAACTGGGTAAAAATCCAAGGTCAAGGTCAAAAGGTCAAATATGGTGGTACCTAAAGAAAGGTCTTGTCACAAGGAATACACATGTGAAATATGAAAGCCATAACTCCAACCAATCAAACGTTATGGGCAAGGTTAAAGTTTTTGCAGACAAACAGACAGACGGACGGACAAGGCAAAAACTATATACCCCCGAATCTTCGATACGGGGACATAAAAATCAAAATATAAATCTTCACTAACGTATATTGAACTATTTGATTAAACGTAATACCAGACACAGAGTGAAAAGAAAACTTTAATATATATATATATATATATATATATATATATATATATATATATATATAGTGTGAAGTTCATCATTGATTGTATTGCATATTTAATTTTCATATAATATAGTTTTTATTGAGGCTTTGTGAACTATTAAAATAGGTGTATTACTATGAAGGAAGCAGGCAAAAACATTTATTTTAAAAAGAAAAAATAATTATATGCTGGTTGGCCTCCCACTTTTTGATGCAGTAAGGTCGAGCACTGGTAAATTCCAGGACTTGGACAGTTTAGAATTACGTTTTTCTTTTTCTTTTTTTCCCCCCCTTTTTTGGCTTGTCAAACTTTTTGGGGAATTTACCCCCCCCCCTTTTGAAACCGTTGCTACGGGCCTGTTATATTATATAATTAGACTATCTGCCCATAATCTAAATGTTGAAACTGTTAGAATTATGTTAATAAAATTAGGGGAAAAAAACAGATTATGTAAAATGTGCTCTTTGAATGTTATCGAAGACGAATTTCATTTTATTTTACAATGTTCTTTTTATCATGACCTTAGATCGAAGTATTTGAAAAAGTATTATTATAAGAAATCCAGTGTTTGGAAATTAATTCAACTTCTAAGTGTACAAAATATAAAGGAACTTTGTTGGAAAATATTTATATCAAGCTTCCACTAGAAGAATGAAACATTTGTAATTTTTTAGTGTTTTATTATTACAGATGCTCACTCTCATATTGTTATATTTTATAATATTTTATATATGCTTAGTTATTACTATATGTAATTTGATGTGTCGTATGACGCAAAGAAATAAAGAACTTCTAAGCTCTGCTGAAGGTTGCTCTCTGTTGTTTTCAGTCATTTAGGTCGTTGTTTTTGTTTGTCTTTTATGGTGGATTTGTCAATTTATAAGTCACTGACATGTGGTATTATTTAGAGACTATGTTTTAACATTGTTCTTAAACTTAATAAGTTAAAAAAAATCGCCGCTGTTTCACTAAGTAAGAAAAACATTTTGTGATAAGGACTTTCTATCGTGTGAATTTTTTAATTGCTGTACAAAATTTACACTTTGGTTGAATTTGTAGATGAAATACTTCTAATTGTATAATAATAATTTTAAACACAAGCTTCGTGATTCCTTAATTTTTGCTTGTCAAAAATGCATTTCACTTGCTCATTTTTTGTTTGTTTGTTGTTTTTGCAATCATTTAATGTAAAATAAGATCACAATGGTCAACATACAAAACAATTTTTAATTAAAACATAAGAATTAAACAATATTTTTCCAAACTTTATTTTTCAGAACAACAAGGTACTGCACTCATTGCTTTCTTGTTGCAATTTTTTCAACCTTAAAGTCCTCAAATGAGTTCGTGCGACCGATGAGCAAGAGATCAAATAGTAACAATGTTTGGCAAATCGTTTGTTTGCGTTTTTCATACTGCATTTTATGATCTATTCGCTCACCAATTCACTATGGACAGATAACACGTACAATGTTAGTATTGCAGCATACCGGAGCTCAGGCATTTGTTAAGCTGCAACCTCTATCAAGGAGGACTCAGTGATATACTGGAGTCGTATGATCAGCTCTCTAATTCAAGATTAACACCTTTCACTTGTAAGATAATCTTTTCCATGCAAGTCTATTTACTTGATTCTGTCTGCAAGGTCCTGACGATCAGTAGAGCACAGTGCTTCCCTGAGTCGCTGTTTTGTTGCTTGTTTACCTTTCAGTTCTCTCCATTTCTTTAATGTTTGGAAGGCAGATTCCTTGGGATCTCCTCGATTCTGCTCATTGATAATTTCAATGTCGTTGTCTCGTACACCAAGCATGCGTCCGACCCTACGATAGTTGTTGCTTGCGGCCAATTCTGGACAAAGATCTTGTAACTGGGCATCTGTCAACATCTCACTCTTCAACTCTGACTCTGAAACATAGAAATTGCAGTATGTGTATTGAAGATAAGCTTTTATACCTTACTTTTGATTGAAAAATTAAGTTTTACGACTCATACACAATTTCGGTATAATTTAAATAAATGTCTATATTACACCTTACAGAGCAGTATTCTAAGCCAGTACCCAATAATGGGGATTACCTTGAAGATGTTGAAGATGAGAATCTGCAGGTTTGAAAGAGTGTAGTCTATTTCCATCGCATTCCATGTCCTTCTCAACAGATGGAATTGTATCCAGTTCGTAGGTAAAATTGGATTCCAGATACGGAACAGAGTCAGTCTTTGACACTTGTCTTATAAAGTTTCTAAGCTCTTCAGAATGTTGTTCCCTGTTGTCCTCAGTCATCAAAGTCGTTGTTTCTATCGTTATTTCGTTGTCTTCACCCCTATAACATGGCGATAAATATTATCAATGTTTGAAAATAACAAATTCATAAACAATGTATACAGAATACAGTGTTATTCATTAATTCTGAAGAATGTTAAGAAGTTGTTGAAAATGACAACATACCCATTAGTTTTTGGTGTCACTTCTTCTAGCTTGTTAACGGCTCTGATTCCTTTTATAAATATACGGTACAAAAGTAAAGAAACGAATGACAATGATTCAAGCTTACTAATCACTAATTAATTTTGAATTTTTAAAAATAACACTCTTATGCTTACTCTTTCTTGCATTTCTCCTCATTACATAAAGCATCATAACAAAAAGGCCCACAATGAGAGTAAGAACAATCGTAGTCCAGAGAAAAACACTTCTGAAATTTACCAAATCTAAAACAACAAAAAAGTCCAGGGTTTTATAAATAAATCAACATGTTCTAAAAAAATAATTAAATAAAAATAAAGGATGGCTCTTGTAAAATTTGTATTTCCCAATATTATTTTTTATTTATATTTTATTATTTTATCTTATACTTAAAACTTTAAAATATGACATCCAGGCTTTAAGGGTTCTGTGACTACCCATCAGAAGAGCACCAACCTTTGGTAGCAGTAGACTGGTAGGGATCGCGCTCCTTTTGTTCCTTCTGTCTGGTATATGCCTTCTCATCTCGTCTAAAATTAATTTTTTTAAAAATAAGACTATTGGAGAAATGATACATTGTAACAATTTCTGATATTAGATTATAAGAAACAAAAATAGAATATAATTTCTGTAGCAAATGAAGTCGACTTACGAATACAGGTTGCTTTTGGAGGGTGGAGGAATCTCTCCACATTTAGCATTTACTATCAAAGTGCAGGGTCTGACTTCTACTTTTCCAATTGCTGTGCAGTTTTTACACAGTCTGCAGGGTCGATGATTGATATATTTACTAAATGTCACCCCGTTAACACATTTGATACATTTCTGACAAGATGTCGCACCATGTACAGGATCCATTTCCACTTCATTCTACGAACAAATGGGGAAAAGAAAAGGCTCTAAAACTTTACTAAAATAAATTTAGAAGTTTGCGATTCAAAACTTATAAATATATCAAATAATTATCATTTACAAATTTTACAACTGTTCCTTCGACAAGCGCTCGGCACTTAAAAATGAAAGTTGCGGGTCTTTCGGATAGGACCTTAAAAACCGCGGCCCCGTATCAAGGTACAGGCGTTGGCAGTTGGCACGATAAAGAACCCTCACTGCTCAATGGCCCTGAGTGCCGAGTAAAGGTCTAAATTTGAAGCCCTTCATCGGTATATATGGTGACGTCTCTATATGAGTGAAAAAGTCTCGAACGGGACGTAAAACAGCACACAATCAATCAATCAGTCTAATCTGCATGACCATCTAGCCGGACACCTGTCACACTTCTTACCTGACTCCCATCTAATCCGTATCCCCACCCAGCTGGACACCTGTCACACTTTTTACATCCCTTAAACTGCTCTATGTACTGCTCATGTTTTCTAGGTTTGCAGAATACATCTCTTTTTGTTTCACTTGGATGGATCGTAAACGCCAGGGTAAACAACATGCTTGTAATCCATTTCATTTTGCCTTATCGAGCATTTAAAATGGGAAATCCCCTGTATATTTACTGTCCCGTCTGGCACTCCTTCTGAAAATCAGTTGTTGATTCATTACATATCTTAAGAATGTTTTGATTATGAATGGACTTAGGGTTATAAATTAACACATATATTATAATTTCAAGTATTTTCATTCAAATACATATGAAACATTGCCTTAGTAAAGGGATGATAACCTTCCTTATGTAGAACAAAATACAAAATATATTTTTAAAATTCGTCCTGCAGATCGATTGTAATTTGTTGTATAAATTCAAAATTCTCTTACTTTCTGAGACATATGACGTC